TAAGCTGGCAGGTGGACATCCCCCAAGGAGTCCTGGACTGTGAGAGGGTGCAGGCCGTGCGGAGGGACACCCCCACCCCCACCAAGTGCACGAATTCTCGTGCACTGCGCCTCTAGTACATAATAAAAGATCTTTCAGTTTCTTCTTGAAATCCTTCATTTTTAGAAAGTTCTCCCTTTAACTTCTATCCACTGGTTCTAGTGCTATCTTTGGCATAGAGAATAAACCCACCAGTAGAGCTTTAAAAGCATTTTATAACAGCTATTATGTTCCCCTTCAAAATGATCTCTTCTAAGCTAAACATTCCGCCAAACACTAAGGGACTAGTATGATGAGAAATAAGATAACATATATGAAACATATTGTGGGAAGAAGTGAGATATATGTATTCAGTAATGATAACTATTATTACCACATACTGGTACACCTTAACTTCCAAACAAGCTTCCCATCACTTTCCATGGAAAGATCACATCAAAGAGCTGCTTCATCCTGATTCAAATTAGACTTTACTCCTAATTCTTTTAAACTCTCAATACTTTTTCAAGCCAACTTTGTACTTGACCTACCTTAGATTTCTTCTGTATCAAATTAAGTACATATACACTTCATTCAATTCCCTTCTACCAATCTAATCTTCAAACTTCCCTCTTGGGAAACACGTTCCACAAATACCAATTAGACCTTTCTTGTTCAAGTTATAGCTATACAGTGTCACAGATTTAGGCTGTTTATGAACCACTCTTCCCAAACACCTATCTTCTATACATCTTCAAGGTTCAGCTAAGAGATCACTTCTTCCAGGATTTTTCTATGACCAATCCACCCACACCCCAGGCTGGGTTTGGCAATCTTCAAGCTTCCAAATTGGCACCCTGTACATACCTTGAGAAAACACTTTCTGTTTTATACTGTTACTGGTGCCACTAATGTAAGGCTCTCTCGTAGTTACTAGAGAAACTCCTGGTCTAGTACACAGTAAAGTTGTTCAAAAAATTAAAAAATAAAAAGCTTCATCTCAATTCTTAAACAGCATAATAAATTTTAAGTATATCCAAACACACTCCAAATCACCGTATCTTTAGGTCTTCCACTTGGGAAATTTTAGAGGATTTTAAGAAATCCTCTTAATCTCGCCTAGTAGCAAAGAATTTTTTTTAAAATACACATCTTGAGCTGTTATCACTATAACCACATCTTCTTTAGATCTGTCTTTCTCCCCAAGTTCCCATTAGCTTTCCAGTTATTAAAAAAAAAAAAAATTATTTACCCATGCCTGATTGAATATAACATTGGGCTAGGCTTTAAGAAAATTATGCAGTTCCTAGTCCCCTCTACTATTCTTATTTTTACTTAAAGACTACAAATATAAGACAAAAACTAAAACAACCATTATGAGGTTTATAAAAAAAAATTATCACTAATGCAGGACTATTCCAAATAATGCCAGACTATTCCAAAGTTGAGACAAAGGGAGTTATTAACACACTGTAGTCTTCTTCTAACAGCTTACATTAATTCTCTTAAAATTTTTTTCAGAATGAAAAAGGCCCATATGGCAATATATTAGCACAGCCAAGATCTTCAAAAAGCATATATCCTTTGACCCAGTAGTAACACTCAAGGATAGATGTGAATCAATATTTATATTAATGTTCACTGCAGTGAACATTTTATTTTAGATGGAACAAATTATTAAAGAGCTGACATGCTCAACAATTAAGAACTAATAAATTATAAGATAGAATACTATGAAGTCCATCAAAAGTGATGTCACAGAATATGTAACAATTAGGGGAAGGTTCTAAGCAAACACAGGTTACAAACTGTATCTATAGTATACAACAAAGCAGACCACATGTCAGAATTTTCAAGCCAGAGAGCTCTAATGCTTGAAGCTTCTATGATACTGAATTATATCATGTGACAGAACAACTCAGTAATACTGCTAGGCAAAAATGGCTATAATTTTGCTTCAGTGTGCTCTGCCAAGATACATGACCAATCTCAAAACTTTGGAACAGCTGTGACATCATTTTCAGGATGAAGGTTAAGCATTTCCCTACATACTGAATTACCATGCCCATTTGGTATGAAGATTTTTTGCAATCTTGTAAATAATACAAAGGCACACACACAAACACCAAACCTAAGAAGGCTATCTACTTCCCCAATAAGCTATCAGTCCCATTCTCATCAAATTTGTTTTGTTTTGGAAGCCTAGTAGAGACTAAAACAATAGTTTATAGTCACTTATGTAAGGATGTTAAGGATAACAGAGGAGTAAGGTAATACTGACTGAAATGGTAACGGACCTTCCTGAAAGCCCAATAAAGCTCTTACAGAAGGTAAACTAAAAAGTAATCTGACACATATAATCAAAGCTTTATTTTTTTTTTTTTCTGGTGGTTTGTTCCCCAACCTGAGAACAATTAAAATACTCCAAGGCCTTTATGGAACGGTTTTTAAGAAAGATCCATTAGTTAACTTCATAAAGACCCTAAATATTATTATATTCACTATTAAAACATCATAAGACTGGTCAATTTCAAAATATGAATCTTACACCTACTTATGAAGTTCAATTATGCACTAAACCACTCAAGTGAATTTAATACAAATACATACTTGATTAAAAGTTTAGCCGAAACCGGTTTGGCTCAGTGGATAGAGCGTCGGCCTGTGGACTGAAAGGTCCCAGGTTCGATTCCGGTCAAGGGCATGTACCTGGGTTGCGGGCACATCCCCAGTGGGAGATGTGCAGGAGGCAGCTGATCGATGTTTCTCTCTCATCGATGTTTCTAACTCTCTATCTCTCTCTCTTCCTCTCTGTAAAAAATCAATAAAATATATTTTTTTAAAAAAGTTTACATAAATTAACAGTCCTCTTGCTACTTCATTTTTAAACCAGTTTCTTTTCTCCATGGTTCTAACACATAATATCAGTTTATCTTAGTATCTACATTTCTAAAATTATTCCTGTCTCTGCTTTCCTGCTTTTAACCACAAGATGTAGGACAGAACTTTGCAGATGAGATAAATATTATACATGTTTCAAATGGATAAACCAAGCACCTGGACACCCCTTCACACGTTAAAAATCTGTCATGCCACTACATGGTGCCTTCCTTGTATCTCTAGAAACAGGGATCTGTGAAGACATCTTTAGAGCCTTTCAGATGTCTGGCAAAAATAACCATTAAACTATCTTTTTCTACATGATTATTGAAGATTTAAAGTTAAACTGTTAAACTTTGGGGAAAAGGAGAGTTTAAAGGACTGAAAAGGATAAAGTTTCTGACAGCCAACTTTTCGGTAATCTGGCTCTATATCCCCAATACTTTTGGCATCACTGACAAGTGTATCTCCATTTATTTGTCTGTACACATTAGAATATAAAATGGCAACCATTATACTTTAGTTGAACAATTAACTATGCACCTCTAATCCTGTGTTAAGGAGGTGAAAAATCTACCAAAGAGCCCTCCTCCCACTGTTCAAAGGAGAAAGTTTTTATAGAGGCATAACAAATGCCTCGGTTTCTACATCAAATATATAAGATACCTATGAATTCATAACCAATTTAAGAAAAATATATTTACATAAGCTTGTTAGGTTTTGTTTTTATTTTTAATTAAATTTATTGGGGTGACATTGGTTAATAAAATTATATAGGTTTCAGGTGTACAATTCTATAATACATCATCTGTATATTGTATTGTGTATTCACCACCTCAAGTCAAGTCTCCTTCCATCACCATTTATTCTTATACCCTCTTCTACCTCCTCCCACCCCCATCCCGGGGGTTATTTTATATTTAAGGCTAACTACTCAGGATTCTCTCAATCATTCATTTACAGATCTTTTTTTTTAATTTCCTCCTTGCCCATAATCTTTCTACCTACTTCCTACATATTATATGTCTAAGTCCTATATAATCTATGACATACCCCAACCAGTATTTTAACATTCTTTTATGATCCTGACCTTTACATTCACTCAGTACACAAGGACCAAGCAGCAATACCAACTCTTTAATTTGTATCTATTCTCCACCACTCTAACCAAGATTCTCACTTGTTACAAAGGAAACAAGAGAAAGCCACTCTTTAGGAATACAATAAAATGTTAGGAGCAAGAGGTCAGCCTTTTGTGATTATCCAAGTTTTATGTAATACATGTTTAACTTTTCCAATGGAAAAAAGGTTTTGAAAAAAAGTAAGCAGGACACCAAGGATAGCAGCAAGAAAGTAAGTTCTTAAAAACATCCACTTAACGGCCTGGCCAGCATGGTTCAGTGGTTGAGCATCGACCTATGAACCGAGAGGTCACAGTTCAATTCCAGGTCAAGGCACATGCCCGGGTTGTGGGCTTCATCCCGTGTGGGGCGTGCAGGTGGCAGCCAATCAATGATTCTCTCTCATCATTGATGTTTCTATCTCTCTCTCCCTCTCCCTTCCTCTCTTAAATGAATAAAAATATATTATTTTTTAAAAACATCCACTTAACATTGCCAGTTGTCAGAAGGCAGGCTGAAAAATGATGGCAAAGCTTGGTGAGACACCAACTCTTGGGGAAAACCACAGTACCCATTAAAGCCAAAAGTTTATTACAACAGAACTTGTAACTTTTTTCTCTGCCTTATTACAGCCTCAATCTTTTCCAACTTTAATTTTCATAGTTTTATCACAATCATTCCCTTTGCATTACTTTCAGGCTCATTCTTCACCTCTTTCTACATCATGTAAATTCATTTTCTATTCATTATTTGCCCTTAAGCACAGTTCTGTCCTCCATTAACATTCCCACATTCCTTCACACTAAGGTTCAAGTAGTTAAGACCCAATTATACTCCCATAAAGGACTGAACTGTTATGTGATACTTGTGTTATTTCCAGAGCTTTTATTAAAGCTTTTATTATTCAGTATAATACCTCTCCTGTTCTTTCTAGTTCCTTCTCCCCTTCCCTAAAAGTCTTAAGAATTATAAGCAGATTACCTTTTTAACACTTTCTTCTTCCTCTTGGCGTTTCTCATAGTGTGAGAAGTCATCAAAAATGGAAGTGGTGTGCTTGTAGCTGGCTATGATTTTCAACACCTGCTTAGCCTTTTCCAGAGGCACTTCCTGAGTGTCCCTGGAGTTGGTCACTGGTTTATTCTCGTTGTTCTCTAGGCGAATGTGTCGCAGCTGGCTATTGGGAACGTCCTTCACAAAAATCCACCTGACATCAAAACGACCCTTCCATTTGTCCTGGGACCACACACCTGCACATGTGTTATAGTCCACAGCAGATTTCATTTCTGCAACGCCACAGAAGTGTCCACTGCCGTTGACACTGAAAAGTAAGTAAACGGGGCCTTTCCCGTTCATGGAGCGATAAGCAGCATCCAGTCTCTTGTTACCATGCTCTGTGCTGCACCAGATATTATACTTAATGGAACGGTGGATATCGTCCTCAGAGTAGCTCTTAATGATGAAAACCCGGCCATGTTTCAGATTCCAGTCAAAATCCTTAGGGTTATAATTATTAATGGACCGTAGCTTCTCCAACACTGGGTGAGGTTCTGAAGGAGTAGATCCAGATCCAGCCTGAGACTGTCCTACTCCATTACCATCCACTCCATTATGACCAAACCCACTGCCACGGTTCCGAGGTGCTACCCAGCGGGTTGGCTGAGCTGCCTGTTGTTGGACTGAGAGCTGGGCAGACTGTGGTGGAGGTGGGGGCAATGGCTGTGTCTGTTGCCCTACTGATGCTTGAGCCACTGGTGGGCTATTGTTAGCCTGTTGACCGACAGGCTGAGGAGACCCCTGGGTTGGCTGCTGACCTATATTCTGAACCAAAGCCTGTGAGGGGGCTTTTGCCACAGGACCCTTGTTATCCCAAGTTCCAATATCCATGTTATGCTTTATTGGGGGTGGTGGAAGACTTGACCCTGCAATGCCATTCTTCGTCTTCAACTTAGGTTGCTGTTTAGCAGGCTTGCTAGCAATATCAGCCCAAGATGCTGGTTTTGGAGGAGCAATGGTAGCTGGAGGCAAACTATTAGAAGCCACAATGTTACTAGTAATGGACCCACTACCAACAGCAGAGCCTACAACTTTTGGAACATTGCTTGCAACTTCTGTGCTACTCAACTTCAGTGCTGCCATCCCTTGGTCTATAGTATTCATGCCAGGAGCTTTATTGAGGGTCTCACTGGCAAAAGCGGACTGTCCATCAATCATGGCTCCACCTAAGGAGCTAGGTGCATAAGCATAATTGCTACTATATCCAGAGCTCTGAGTAGACTGTCCCTGAGAACTGTTATTTCCCCAAGCTGAGAAGTCAATACCACTGGGAAAGAAATTAAAACCATGCTGACCAAGAAACGGAGTGCTACCAAGGGCTCCTGGTTGTCCAAACATTGCATCTGGTAGGAAGTGAGGCTCTCCGTTGCTCAGCTGTCCATAAGAAGTTAGATAGGGCATGGCTGTGTCACCCCCAGTAGACCAAGCAGCTTCACCCAAAGAATAGGAGAAGCCAATGGAGGGACTGTAGTAACTGGGTAGGTAGGAATCTGACATGGCAGTATATGCATTATTCTGTGGAAGAAAAAAAACACACACAACTAAACTAAACACAAAAATAAACAATCAAGACATTTCCTTCCCCAATTATTCATATAATTCAACTATTTCATCCATTACCATAAAAAAGGAGAGTGACCATCTCAGATGGTCGCATCTCAACAACTATTAAACTATTAAAACCATACTATAATAGGTAAAATAAGACAAAAAGAATTGGAAATTTAAAGTTCTCTCCCAAAAATCTGTGTAGCCATCCCTCAGCCAAAAACCAAAAAGCAAGGTTCTGCAACTATATTTAAAGAGCAATAGTGTCTGTGTGTCAAGAAACTTCTTAAAAAATCTTATTAGTAAACATTTTTATGGTATGATTTTTACATTCATAAATCCTGCACTGTATTCTGTTAAAATATTGGTGCATGAACTTATTTCCTTTTTTAAAATATAGTTCTATTGATTTCAAAGAGGAAGGGAGAGGGAGAGATAGAAACATCAATGATGAGAGAGAATCATCAATCGGCTGCCTCTTCCACACTCCCTACTGGGGATCAAGCCTGCAACCCGAAACCTGGGCAAATGCCCTAACCAGGAATCAAACTGTGAACTGGTTCATAGGTCAATGTTCAACCACTGAGGTACACCAGCCAGGCTATTTTCAGTTATCAAAGTATAAAAAGAATACACAATTTAAAGACATTTTGGTATGTATCAAATAAGTTTGTGTGTTTTTTAAAAAAACAAGGTTCACTACATCTAATTTACTGTGGTAGCCTCTTGGCAAACCATCTGGGAACATCAACAGATGTCACTATTTAATTATAACCTGGAAAGGAAATGTACAGTAGCTTCCAGAGAAAAAACTAGAAAAAATGTTGCTACCTGTTCTGCTTCTCCTATAAAATGAATTGCTATCATCTAAAATGCACACCCAACTTTTCCATTAAAAATAGAGGAGTATATCTCAGTCTGTGTGGCTCAGTGGTTGAGCATCAAACTATGAACCAGGAGGTCATGGTTCGATTCCCGATCAGGGACATGTCCAGTTGTGGGCTCCATCCCCAGAAGGAGGTGTGCAGGAGGCAGATGATCAATGACATTTCTCTCCCACCAATGTTTCTATCTCTCTCTCCCCTCCTCTCGCTCTAAAAGTCAATTTTAAAAAACATATAAAAACAGGAGTATAATTCTAAAGATACCATACAGTCCTTTATCTTTAAAAAAAGGAATTATCCTAAATAATAACCAGAAATATAAACTTATATGCAACTAGTCTTCACATAAGATTACACTGCAAAAACCTCAATCATTCTTGATTTCATTTTAGTTTGTGCTGAACATATTTTCCCTTTTTTATAAATTCTATAGCTCACAGAATAGTCCCTTAAATCAGAGTTTTTAAGCTAGAGATACATAAAATTGGTCTCTATGGATATACTGCTCAACTCAAATAACTCTGGTATATAAAAATCCATTAACTAATCAAAAATATGGAGTTTATTCTTAAGAGATGTGGATGTCTACCACTATCTTAAGCCTTAAGTTTGTATTACCAAAGGTAAGAGTACTACTCCCTAGCCACTAAAACACATCTCTTGAAGATTAAACATTTCCAGTAATGTGGTTAGATAAAATGTGCTTTTTTCTGCCAATTTCAATTTTCCCTAAAAAATCAAATAAAATAAAAATCAAGCTGTCTTTCCGCACATAGACTTCTCTTAAAATTAAGTATTTCTCAAAGATAGTGTTAATACTTTAGCAAATCCATATTGTATTAAAAATTCAGTCTACAGTGTCTGGATTAAGCCTGAAGGATTATTCCAACATAAGGTGATGAAAAATTGTTTAAAAAAGTAGATGAATTACTTTTGAAAGTAAACTACAATGGACAGACTCTCAGATCTACTCAACCAAGATTTCTATTTCCTCACAACATATTTTTTAAGTTTTTTTTTAAGTTTCTTTTTTATTGTTGACATTATGATTCTTCCCTTTTCCCCAATATTTTTTTTACATAGACATTTAAGTTAGCTTACTTGAGAAAGAAAAAAACAAATTGACTATCACTGGTTATGCTATTATATAGCTAAATGCCTACAACTCAAGTAGCAGGTTCCCACATGCCACTGAACTCAAAAATCTGAATTACACAATGTTTCACAAGAACTACCTAGAATTATATTTCCAAATGCTCCCACTCTCCCTGTTATAATTACGTAAGCAAACTACTTCAATAGCAAGAATCTATTAATAGTTCATTCCTCTACTTCCTTCCCTACTTTTCCTGATTAACTGGTTATCTTCTGCAAAAACTTTTTTCCAATCACTTGTTTAAGTGAGTTCTATATATTCAATGCAGAAAATTTTACATAAGGAATCTAAAAGTTTTATGTAAGAATTAGGTCCAAATATGGACATACGCTAATATGCCAAGTTATTCTAGCCCAGTGGTCGGCAAACTCATTAGTCAACAGAGCCAAATATCAACAGTACAACGATTGAAATTTCTTTTGAGAGCCAAATTTTTTAAACTTAAACTATATAGGTAGGTACATTGTTAACTTAATTAGGGTACTCCTAAGGCTTAGGAAGAGCCACACTCAAGGGGCGCGAGCCGCAGTTTACCAACCACGGTTCTAGGCTATTACATCTATCACACAGCATCTGTTCAGAATTTATATAAATATTCTATAAGCTTTTTCTTTTTTTGGGCATTTTGGATGAGTAATTGCCTTTTGGTTTATTAATCTGGAAGCTATATTTGCTACAACTTTGTAACTATGTCTTTGGGACAAAGATATTTATACAAAAGAGCTGCCACACTAAAGAAGTATGCAACTAATCTTCACATTAGAAGATAGGTTAAATTACAAAAACCTCAATTTTTTATCTTAATTTGTGCTACACAGCATTTTACCTTTTTTAAACTCAATTTCATAAATCCTAAAGCTCCCTATATGAGAATCCAAAGTTGTTCTCTATACCTATAGATACAGCTCAACTCGAAAAATGAGAACCTAACGCAAAATAACGCAAAATAGTTCTAATCTAAGATCCCACTAACTAGTGAGCAGAGGAGAAGAATACCCAGTTCTGCAGCGTTGAATAAATTTCAGGTGATTGATTTTTTTTTACTAGTTTTTCCCATCACATATGAATCCAATTTCCAGAAAAGAAAAAGGGTTTGGGGTGAAAACTCAGAATATTTAACACTAGAAAGGATTAAGTTTTACATTGTTTATTCTTGGTAAGGAGCAAGAATTACTCAAACAGGTGTTACTGTTAGTACGCTGTAAAGTGCATCAGAACTAGTCTCAGAATACAATATGTTTGCTGACAAGAGAGATGGAAATCCTAGGGATCTATAACATTTGTAACAACTTTTTATAACACATTGACTAGTAGGAAGACAGTCACCCCGAAAGTGAGACTCATCGATAGGGAAAAGAATTTATACACCCTTTGATCAGGCATGTAAATGGTTAATTACTCACGGGCCTTGCCTGGGGACTCAAGTAAGGTTCAAAATCGTCATCATTTAATCCATCCTTTTGATGTACAGATCCATTTTGTACTGGAGGAAAAAATTCAAATTAAGAACGTCCCAGTCATACAAGCCTCCCTCCCAAAGTCACCAACTATATCCTAACCAGAGAAAAACCTCACTAAAACAGAGAAATTACGTTTGCATTTCAAAACGCTAAGGATGGGAGTGCATGCTGAGCAGCATTCCGTCAATAAAAATGTCTCCCTCCACCCCAAGCAAGTGGATCTAAAAAGGTCCTTTTATTGGCTCCTCTCGTTCCCCGTGCCCTCCCGCTTCCCCCCACCCGCTCCACTTGGGTCACATGCGGGCACTTCCAGAGTGTGATCCACGAGGACGAAACACAAAGGCCTCCTAAGACCTACAGGAAACCAGGGACCTGAGACATTGCACAACCGCATCCACCCCCACCCCCACCCTCAGTGAATGACTCCTTGTTCGCTGGGAAGCTGTTCGCCCGCGGAACGAACACGCCGAAAGGGTCAAATCCTTCCGTGTGAGCGAGGCACCTGCGAACCCCGGGGCTTCCGAAGGATCCCGGCCCCGGGGCGCTTCCCGGGGACCCCGCCCCCACTACCCCGCGTCCCCCTCTCCGGGCCACCGGCGGGGCCGGGCTCACCTTTGTTTCCTTGACCTTTTGGTCTCTGCGGGCGAAGGAAACGTCGCCGAGCAGCAAGGTATCCGAGGGAGAAATGGAAGAGAGAAGACAAATTAAAGCCGGGCCGGAGAAAGGCAGGAAGGAGCAGGCCTCGGGGTAGGCGTCGGGAATGGTGGCGGAGGGGGGGAGGCTTGAGAACGGCAGGCGGGGAAAGCGCTAGGCCCGCGAGGCCGCCGAGAAAAAGCGGGGGACGCCCCAGCCGCGACGCGACGGGGCCCGGGGCTTCAGGGAAGGGGAAGGGAACGAGGAAGGAAGACGAGGCCCGCTGAGGAGGAAAGGCGGCGCGGGCGTTGGGCACCGAGGACCGGGGAGAAGCGGGAAGAGCGGGCTGAGGGCGAGGCGCAGGGCGCGGCCGGCCTGAGAGGCCCGAAACCCGGCCCGCGAGAGGCGCCGCCTCGGCTCGGCCCGACCGGGGGCGAAGGGCCCGGGCCTGGTCGGGCTCCCTCTCGCCTCACACAATGGCCGAGGCATGCGGGCCGGGCCTGTACCTGCTCCAGGAGGCTGCTGGCCGACATGGCTCTCGGATCCTCGCGGGTGGCGGCGGCGGCGGGCTCTCCTCAGCGCGTCGGCGGCGGCGGATGAGCCCCAGCTGCGGGAGCAAGCGGCGCGGCGGCGGCTTTTGTCCCTGACACTCTGGGCCTCGGCGGACGCAGCGGAGACACAGCGCGCGGCTCCGGCTCCGGCTCCGACTCGGCGACGCTCTAGCCCGAGGGCTCAACGCCCGTCTCTATGGCTGGGCGCGCGCGCCCGCCCCTGGCCGCCGAAGTGAGGGCGCTGAGCGGCGGAGGCGGACGGCGAGCGCGGCGCGGCGCTGACTCTCACATTCACTCACCCACGCGGAAGGGGCCCGGCGCGAAGCGCCCCCAGAAGGACGAGGCGGGGCCGCAGCGCCCTCTGGCGGCCTGGAGGAGCGGAAGCGGCGCGCGCGGCCTTCCCGCCCCCACCGCCTCGGGGTTGGGGCCTAGGAGGGTGGGGACCGCAGGGTCGTACCACGAGGTTTTTAACTAATACCTGGAGGGAGTAACTTTAGCTGGAGAAACCCCACAAAAACCTGCCTCTCGGTGAGGAACCGGCCCCTGAAGCCTGAGAGACCTTAAAATAAACCTGCTTCCCAGCTGCAGACGGCACCCCACCCCGACCTGGGAGGAAACCCCGGAGCGGGTCCCAGAGCCCCCAAGGAGGCTTCCTGGGGGCGCTGCCTCCGAAAGACGCCCCTTCCCCAGGGGCCCGGTCATCCTCCTGTTAGCAGACAGCGAACGAAAACGTGCCCAGGGAACAAGAACAAAAACACCCACCGAAATTTGGTTCCCTGCAAGAAATAGTCATTGCAGGGCGGAGAATCTACACTTTTTTTTTTTTTTTAGAATCTACAATTTTTTTAGGATAGTCACTGCCCCCCCCCTCCTCCCGTAATCTGTGGCCTTTGTTGCCAATGAAGTCACCCCTCACACATCTACACAAAATTTTTCATGACTTTCAAGGAGTCCGGAGAATCTATTAGGTCCATTAAGTCTATGGACTTCAAAAGGAAATGTCCTGCCCTGCCCGGTAGCTCCATTGGTTGGAGCGTCGTCCCGCTGAGCCGGGTTGTTGCAGGTTCCACTCGGCGAGCACATGCCGGAGCCTGCTGGTGTGTGCACGGATCAGTGGAACCGCCGACCTCTCCCTCTCCCCGCCCTCTTCCCCTCCCCTCCCCCTCCCTCTCCCCGCCTTTCTCTCTCTCTAAAATCAATTAAAAAAAAGAAAATGTCCTTATCTGTGGAAGAAAGGAAATTAATGCTACTTGAATACCTGCTCTGTGTTAGGTTTTGTTAAGTGTTTTCAAAGCCTTAATAAAGGCTTTCAGCATCTTCAAAATAATTTGTCAGTCTCTCCATTTTACAACGTGGGGGGCGGGGGGGACAGAGAAGTTAAGTAATGTGTTCAAAGTCACAAAGTTATTAAATAGGTGTATCTGACACCAAGAAGAACATAATAGTGTCAGTCTGCCCCCAAGAGAAATCCTGTATTCAAGAATCAGAATCCAGAAGCGATCAAAGGATGGGCAAAAGCATTTTTAATCAGAGGCAAACCCAACTCATGCAGGGATATTTGATCCTAGGATAGCCCAATAGCTTTTGGTATTGCAAATAGTAAACAGATTAAAAAATGCACTATTAAGTGTCAACCTGATACCATTCACACCCTGGATACAGGAGACTTTTGTGGACTCAGTAGTAAAATAAATGATAACATGGCATATTGGATTTTGCGTCATAATTATGCTCCCAGTGCTCAATTCATTTTTTTCTGCCTATAATTGCATTTATGGTTGGAATAAATAAGGTCAGACACCACATGTGATGGACTTCTGGAAAAGACAATAAAATGTCGTCAAGTTGCAAAGCATAGGTCCCATCAAGGGAATAAAAGAAACCTAGTAACCCTCTTTTAAAGCTACTCAGCCACTTAACCCCATGGCCCAGATTTATGTATAAACTGTAAGCAGTTGCCTACACTTATTCTTGAAATCAGCATAGTAAAAGGAAGATTGACCGGGAGTCAAACCTGGGGGGTGGGGAGGGACCAGATTTGCAACATCTGGTAAATTACTAAACCTTTCAGAGATTTCCTCATTTGATAAAGGGGATAGTATCTCCTAAGGCTGGTTGTGAAGATAACGTTAAAAAAAGACATTGAAGCAAGTCTAGTACATTGTAGATTCCTGTAATTCCATTATGGCATGATAGTGAAAATTCCCTCCTCCCAATAATGATATCTTCATGGTGCCTGAAATTATTAGATCCTTTGGGATTACTTACTGTCATCTGGGAGTTCCCAGTTAAAATGCAAATATTCTTGGAGAGAAGGGTAATTAATCTCTAAACTAGGATTTTAGTTTACCAGATTGATTTTGATAGGCCCCTGAACAGAACACACAAAACTAATATATTTAATCACTGGGAAGAGGGAGAGGAAGTCTGGAGTGAGGGGTATCATTTTATGTGACAGACCCCTCATGGTTTGAGAAAACAAAACTGTTCTAGTCATGGGTCTGTGTTCCAGTTGCAGCTCTGCAACTGGGTAGATAAAGCATTCAATCCCACTTTCAACCAGTATTTATTGAGGGCCAGGCAATGTGCTGGAGAGAACGACTTAAGAGTTAACCTTCCCTTGAAGCGTATAGACTAGTCAGGGAAACCGACTGTAAGCAAATAGTTATTCAGTTAAAGTTGCGCAAAGTGCAATGAGAAAGCACAGAGGAACTGGCCTGGGGGATGTGGGGGACAAAAGAAGTTTTCCCTGAGGTGGTGAGCTTCAGCTAAAGCCTGAAGGATAACCAGAAATTGACCAGACAGAGAAGGGAGTGGGGGAACAATAGTGCAAAGGCCCCAAGCAGGGAAAGTGCTTGGCACCAGTGAGGAACTGAAAGAAGGCCAGCATGACTGGCACATAATGAGAAAGAGGGTGGCACCAGATAAACTGGAGAATTGGGCAGAAAGGAGAACTATAGGAACTTCAGATGTTAGCTACAAATGATCAGCTGGTAAAAGGTTAATAGCATAGCATTCTCAGGTTTCTGTTTTAAGATGATGTTAACTCTCTTTAATTCGATTGCAGTGTGGGAAATAGATTTAGGGAGAAAAGAGAAGGTTAGGAATTAGAAGAGTATTGCAGTAAGTCCAGGCAAAAGATATGGTACAGCCCTAGCTGGTTTTGCTCAGTGGATAGAGCGTCAGCCTGCGGACTGAAGGGTTTGATTCCAGTCAAGGGCCCATGCCAGGAGTTGCGGGTTCGATCCCTAATAGGGGGCGTGCAGGAGGCAGCCAATCAATGATTCTCTCTCATCATTGATGTTTCTATCTCTCTCTCTCTCTCTCCCTTCCTCTCTGAAATCAATAAAAATATT